ATGAAAGAACAGGAAACTAGGCTACAACAGAGAATGGGTAAAGTTCAGCAGCACGTTTCTTTGGATGAGAAGGATGTCGCCCAGACGCTGGGGCAAATACTGACGTATTTGGCTTTTCTTGAAGAAAAATTGGACCAACAGCAATCTAGAATGGATGAATTGGCTGTTGGTCTCCATGTCATTACTAGCATTGTCAAGGGAAAAGCCCCTGTGCTTGAAAATGATGAAGAGAAAGAAGATAAAGAAAGAAAAGCGGACGTCAAGCCCGAGAAGCTGCTTCTTGGTGGAATGAAAAACGGCGATACAACGAAGAAGGAAACGGTAAAAGAAACCGAGAAGAAACCATAAGAGAAGAAACCTGATGGGAATGGCAATGGAGATGGGAATGGGAACGGGAATGGCAATGGGAATGGTGGTCCCTCCGGTCCCTCTTCCAAGGACAATGCCAAACCTGCAGATCAGACTAAGCCAAAGAAGAAAGAAAAGGTGAAGATGAAATTGCCTTTTACTTTTTCTAATAAGAAAGAAGAAAGCCTTCCACTCTGGATCGCAGAGATCCAGACCTATGTTGGGACCGCACCGGTAGAAGAAGAGTCGCAAGTTGCGTTCACCACTTCTTGTATGGGGGGTGAGGTGAAGCAATGGGTTCTGGCGGAAGCAAATGCCGCGGGGTTTGACGATATAGGTGAATGGGAGAAGACTATGACCTTGAAGCAGTTCCTTGCAAAAGTCAAGGACCGGTTTTTGGACAAGACTACGGCCGATAAGGCCTTCGACCAACTCACCACGATAGGACAAAAGTCCTGGTCTTCAGTTGAGTCGTTGTCTCGTGAGGTTGACCGACTGTTGCAGGTTCCCGGTCTAAACCTGCAGGACTCTCAGGTCCTTTACATTTACTCGCGTGCATTACCCGAACCGATCCGAGGGCACTTGGTCGCCGAGGCCAAGTCCGGTAAGTATAGTTACCGTCAGTTCCGCGACCTGGCGTCGTTGCAGCGGGAACAAATGACTTCGCAAGTCAAAGGTTCCTATGCTGCTGCCGTAAAGAATGGAGGAGGAGGCAGTCGGGGAGGCTACGGCAAGCGGGTTTTATGGCGCCAAAAGCGCTAGGACCATACTCTCGCCGTATTCGACGACGATACAATGGAGAAATGGCCATTGGAGAACGAGGGTGGTGGTGATAGCAGCAGTGACCCCGGAAAGGGGGAGGTCACCGCTGCGACGGTCAACAAGGGAGGACCGTCATCGAACAATCGACCGAAGGGAAGACCACGCTCCTTCCTGCACCATCCTGGGATTGCGGCCGGTAGACCGTGGTTGAAGATGGGATTAACCCGGGAAGTATGGCAGGATAGGATGGACAATGCACAGTGCCTCAAGTGTGGCACTGCGGGGCATGTCATTGCCTWTTGTCCTTTGATTAGAAACCCAAAAGGGAGCAGCCAGTAGGAATAACATCTGTTCCTACAGAGTCGGAGGGTGCGATCACATGCGAGGCGCCTACGATCCCTTTCCACACTCCGACTCCCGTGGCAGAGGATGGAAACCCTTCCGCCCGTCGTTCAGATAACCCCACTCCTGTCTTATGCCTGTCTCTGGACGACTCCCTTGACGAGCTGGGTAGTGAGCTAGTCGCGTTACGCAGTTCGTGGGCGAAGAAAGCCAAGTCTAAGGGGGAACTATTGATTGCCGATTTGGTTGTCAATCGCATACACGTTGGTGCGATGCTGGACCCTGGGTCCACACGATCTTACATGTCTGAACGTGCAATCCGCAAGTTGCACCTCGGCATGAAGATCCAAACGTTAGCTAGACCAATCACGTCTATGCTGGCTGACAAAAGCACGATGACGGTAACGCAGTACGTCGATCGTGTTCGATGTCAGTTCAGTACTAAGGAGGGGAAGACGATTTGGCATGAGCTTCCCTTCCTAATCGAGAAGAACATGCCATTTAATATCATATTGGGAATGGATTGGCACAAGGAAGTTGATCCCAAGATTGATTTCAAACAGAAAGAAGTACGAATCAAGGATGCATCGTCTGAATTGCAATCAATTAAGTTGTATCATCGGTCAGGGTCTGATTCTGTCTTGTCTTTCTGTTGCATGAGCTACCCTGCATTCCGATCGATGGTTGCAAAGAAGAAGTTAGAGGATGAGGTAGTCATGTTGTTAGTTAAGAAAGTAGGTGAGTCTTCAACTACCCATCCTCCTGGCATAGATGCACTCCTAACGGAGTTTGTCGATGTTCTGTCTGAACCAACCGGGGTCACTTCGCGTGCTATTAAGCACACGATCGAGATTGTGCCCGGTAGCAAGGTTCCCAAGGGCCCTATCTATCGCATGTCTCCAAGGGAACTTGAGGAACTTAAGAAACAACTGTATGAGTTGACAGAGAAGGGATGGATTCGCCCTAGCTCCTCTCCTTATGGTGCACYTGTCTTGTTTGTGCCCAAAAAGGAAGGTGAGCTGCGCCTTTGCATYGACTACCGAGGGCTGAATGTCGTCACCGTCAAAAACGCCGAACCTTTGCCAAGGATCGACGATCTCTTGGATCAGTTGCAGGGTTGTCGAGTCTTTAGCAAGATCGACCTTAAGTCTGGGTACCACCAGATCGAGGTGGATCCCGCCGATCAGCATAAGACCGCGTTCCGTACGAGATATGGTCATTACGAGTTCATCGTGATGCCATTTGGTCTAACGAACGCACCTGCGACCTTCCAAAGGTCAATGAACGAGTTGTTTAGGCAATGGCTCGACGACTTTGTAATCGTCTATTTGGATGATATTCTAGTGTATAGTAAGACACTAGAAGATCATCATCGACACCTTCGTCTAGTACTCGGGAAGTTACGCGAAGGTAACTTCAAACTCAACCCAAAGAAATCCGAGTTCGCTAAATCTGAGGTCCTGTACTTGGGACATATAGTGAACGAGGAGGGATTGAGGCCCGAGGAAAAGAAGATCTCGACAATCAGAGATTGGCCACAGCCGAAGACTCTGACAGACCTGCGATCTTTCCTTGGATTAGCAAGTTACTATAGGAAGTTCGTTAGGAACTTCTCAGTTATCGCTGCTCCCATGAGAAGATTGCTCAAGAAAGGTACTATCTGGCTGTGGGACAAGGATTGTGAGTCATCCTTTCGAAAGTTGAAACATGCTTTGACCCACTATCCTGTTCTTAAGATTGCCGACCTGTCTCTTCCTTTCATCGTCACAACTGACGCAAGTCAGTACGGTATTGGCGCTGTCTTACAACAAGACGACGGCAAAAGCTACCGCCCTATTGAGTTCATGTCTAAACGTCTATCGTGTGAAAAGGTCGCCAACTCCACCTACGAAAGGGAGTTGTATGCATTAGTCTGCGCCCTAGAGACATGGAAACACTATCTCCTTGGCAGACATTTTATTGTGTACTCGGACCACTCGACCCTCAAGTGGATCAAGACACAGCCTCGATTGTCTGACAAGTTGGTTCGTTGGTCTGCTTTCATCGATACCTTCGATTTCGAACTCAAAACTATTAAAGGTAAGTCTAATGTTGTAGCAGACGCACTATCTAGGAGGAGTGATTTCTTTGGGGCTATAGTCTCTTACCTGGATGTTGGGAATGATGTGAAAGATCAGATTCGCGCTGGATATGCCACTGACCCTGTCTGGAAACCAATCATGGATATCCTAGCCAAGGACCCATCCCAACTTCCTCACTATCGATTGTCTGATGGCTTACTCTTCTTGTTGGACCAGACGGAACAGAGATTATGCATTCCTCACAAGGAATAACTTAAAAGTCTATTCATTGGGGAATGTCATGACACAGAGGGACACTTTGGTTTCAAGAAGACGTATGCTGAGGTGCGTGAGCACTATGAATGGAAGGGTTTGAAAGAGGATGTACTAACGTATGTTCGTATGTGCCAAGTATGTCAGAGAAACAAACCGTCTCATGAGAACCCTTTGGGTTTACTCCGACCACTACCTATTCCGAGTGAGCCAAGTGAGTCTGTGTCCATAGACTTTATGAAACTCACCAAGTCCCGAAATGGCAATAGTCAAGTTATGGTCGTGGTTGACCGTTTCTCTAAATATGCCATGTTCATACCCTTGCCTGCAGAGGCCAAGACTGAGCTTGTGATTGCTAAATTTCAGATGCGATGGGTAACTGAGTATGGGTTTCCCATGTCTATCGTATCTGACCGCGATGTCAGGTTCACAAGCATGCCTTGACAGAAGCTGATGGAGGCCTACGGTACACAACTCACCATGTCGTCAGGCAGACACCCTGAAACGAATGGCCAGTCTGAGCAAATGAACCGTATGGTCCAACAACTTCTGAGAATGTATGTCCGTCTTGACCAAATAGACTGGGATGAGAACTTACCCAAGATTGTCGGTGCATATAACAATAGTGTGCATACCGCAACGGGACGCACACCTAACGCACTGCACAAGGGCTGGAAGCCTAAGCGTCCCATTGATGTTTTAACCAGGGATCAGTTTCTTAGACTTCCACCAGGGACAAAGGAATATGCCATTATGTTTCAAGAAGACATCAAAAAGGTGAAGGAGAATCTGAGGAAAACCCAAGAGCGCATGATTGAACAAGCTAACAAACACCGACGCCCGTCTACTTTTCAAATTGGTGACTTGGTCTGGGTTAAGTCCAAAGAGTTCACTCTAGAAGAAGATGTTTCTCAGAAACTGATGCCTGTCTATCTAGGACCCTGGGAAGTTCTCAAGGTGATAGGGGATGCCGATGGACCATCATACCGGATTGACATTCCCCCTCATCTTCGGACATACCCCGTCTTTCACGCGTCTAAACTGCTTCGATATGTAGAAGGAACAAAATTTCCTCGCCGACCATCTGCTATACCTCCGTCTATGAATGGCAGCTATGTGGTTGAGAAAATTACTGACCATGGATTCTTTTCTACTGGTGGAAGAGGCAGACCTCAGAAGCAGTATAAAGTGAGATTCCAGTTCCAAGATGCCTTTGAAGACCGTTGGTTTAGCAGACGGGAACTGATGGATACTGCTCCTGATATTATTGCTAGCTATGAACGCGGACTGAAGTCTTAAGTATTTCTGCGGTGGAACTCGAATTCGGGCCGGCAGGAATGCAGT